TCGCAAGCGCCCAGGGACCTGATGGAGTGGGTCAAACAGCGCAAGCTACCACCCTGTGAGGCTATTTGCAATGGCGATCAGCCTTGCCACGATATGGACGACCTCTGGGACACCCTGCACGGCACGTACAACTCGGCCTCTGGCCGCGAGTACGACGCCTCAGTCTTAGACGAGCTTCCCGGCGAGCTGGTCCATGAGTGGGCTGACTTCTTGGAGCATGAGTTGTTGAGTGCCCTAAAGGGGTGCTCCAACTCCTCTGCACCAGGACCGGACCACGTTTCCAGACTAGCGCACTGGCTTTTGACATCGCGCAGTTCTTCCCTTCTATTAACCATGAGATGTTCATGGCTGTAATCCGCAAGCAAGGGTTCTCCCCGGTTCTGGTGGAGTTCTTTGCCTCTTATCTTGTTGGTCATTCCACAGTCTATTGTTGGAACACCTTCCAATCCAACTCGCGGTCTGCGGACATGGGCGTCAGGCAGGGCTCAGCTCTCTCGCCTGTTATCTCTGGGCTGTTCATTGCTCCGGTAATGAAGCTCTTCTACATCAAAGCGGTGCCACTCAACATGACGCTGCTGTCCTTTGTGGATGATGGGACCATTCTGGCCCAATCCAAACAACTCGATGATAATAATGTGGGCCTGCGTAAGGCCTACAAGATTATCTACCTCCTCTTTGTTGCTTTTGCGCTCGTTCTTGAACATGACAAGACCGAGCTGTTTCACTTTTCGCGTCGACGAGACGCCTACAATCCTTCACTGGATTTGGGGTACGCCCCGCACACCGGTGCTACACCTTTGAAGCCCAAGACCTATTGGAGGTACCTGGGCTTCTACTTTGACCGCGGGCTTACGTTTCAGGAACATGTCCACTACTATGCCACCAAGGCATTCACCACTGTGCAGGCCATGCACATGCTCGGGAACTCCACTAGAGGTCTCTCGCCTAAACAGCACCGCCTCTTATATCGATCGTGTGTGGTTCCCATTGCCACATACGGTTATCGTCTCTGGTATTTCGACAGCGCCCGTAATAAGGGCGCGATGAACCAGCTAAAACGGATGCAGCGAAAAGCTGCCCTATGGATCACGGGTGCCTTCCGCACCTCCCCCACTGGCGGTCTTGAGGCCCTTGCTGGCCTCATCCCCGTTCATCTCATGCTGAAGAAGCTGGCGACGCGCGCAGTGTATCGCGTCGCTACCCTCTCAGACACTCACCCTCTTCGCTCCATGATGGGCGAGGGACTCCTTAAGCGAGCTGCACCACATGCCCGCTCAGCTGCCTTGATGACCCCAGCCATGCGAGGGAAAGTCATGAGCACCATTATGGAGGTGGATGAGCGCGTCCACACCTTAACTGAGAGCTTTGAGCCCTTTGCGCCTGAAGCTCGCCCAGGTGATCGGTTACTGGACCGCTTTGCGGACCGTCTCCACTTTGACAAGCGTGATCCTGCCCAGGATAGGCGACCATATCTAGACGAGCTCATTGCGAGAGCGAGGGCCAACCCTCTAACAGTACTGGCTGCGACTGATGGCTCTGTCCCTCAGTCCAACCAGTATCAGGCAGCTTCGGCTGCTATAATCTACAAGGGACATCGCGAGCTCGAGAGGACTTGCTATGTCTCTGGCAGAGTTACCGCCCCTGATGCGGAACTCAATGCCATCTCGTATGCAGTGCGCCTTGCTGTCAAGCAGGCAAACTGCCAACATATTATGGTCTTTACCGACTGCATGGGCTCAGCCCATAGAGCGGTCGACCCCGGCGTGCACTCTGGTCAAGCTTTTAGCCTGTCAGTTTGTCGCGCTCTTCAAGAGTGGTTTGAGGCGGATGATCTCCGCCGCATTACCTTTGTTTACATTCCATCTGCTTTGCGGTGGGATATCCATGGTGAGGCACACAAGTACATCACCGAACTCAAAGTCAGGGTTGGACGTCGCAAGACGGACAACTCTATAGACGCGCTGATGTGCCTACGGTGGGGTGATCGTGCGAATAAGGAATGACTAACACACACCCAAAACACCGAAATGAGTGGCTCTGAGGTGCGAGGACAGTTCCGTGGTTGTGCGGCTCTAACCAGTGGGCACGCGCGACCAGCAAACGGGGGACGACGGTGGGCGCTAAGCGTGGGATCAGAATGGCGATGGCGGCGAGATCGAAAGACGGGGCAACGGTGGGTCGAAATGGCGAGTCGAAACGAGGCTGAGAGCGACGAGAGAAGGCGTACGAGAGACGAGGGCGAGGTACGAGTGCCCCGAGTGGGCAAATGAGACGAAAACTGTATGTTATTGGGGGAAAAGAGTAAGTACAGACATTTTGTATCTACAAAAAACAGGAGCACCGGTGAGGTATTTCTCCGAACCGGGCTGCAGGAATAAAGAATAAGAGAAAATCTTCCACAGAAATAAATAAGAATGATAAAAATTAATCAAATGACGCGGGGACGCAACGGACGACTGTGCTGATGGTCTTGATATGGCAAGGGTGGCACGTCGAGGCTTCGCTTCGACTGGAACCATGTGGGCCGATCACGGGGCTTGCTGATGTTCTGGCTGAGGGTCTCCGGGTGCGTCGAGGAATCATATGGCTCAATGGGAAAGGTGTCGGGGATCGAGGGAACGACGGGAATGCGATGACGAAAGTCGGAAAAAAGGGATTTACCGGGGTCAGGGAGCGGTCCAGCTCATCAGCGCTTCGCTCTCGAGCTGCACACTCAGTCCTGGATTCGTGGAATTCCACTTTCCAGGATCCAACCTACCGAGGCTCTGAATTCTTAGAGCTCCAACAGCCTGACGGGCAGCCGCTACAGCCATCATACCTCAATGGGGACCTTGGCTTTCAACTTTCGGGCACAGTATCACTGAGTTTGCTCGCGTTTGCCGGTGTATAACTGGACACGTGCCCATTGGAGCGTACTACCATCGCTTCAAGATCAATGAGCCTCATGGCTGCACTTGCGGGGCTGCTCTGCAGTCTCGCCAGCACATCCTCTTTCACTGCCGCGATAGATATTCTGTACACTATCCCCGTTTTCTCAGGGATATTGCATCATTTATGAAGTACAACCCTACGGTGTTTGGCTTCACCCAGGACCCTTCGGGGGTTGGATAATCGCCTCGGGCAGGGTTATTCCTCCTTTTGGAGGATTTATTGGTGAATTGACACCCTCGGACCTTAGGGTTCGGAGACCTGTGCCCGTTTCACTCTTTCGCGCTTGCAGCTGCTATTATAGCATGTTGCGCGCTGCTAACTTTCTGCGTCTGGTTTCGGGCAGGCGCATCTCTGGCTTGTCAGCCTCAAGACACCCTGCCACCTCCCAGGTGGTGCTGTTCTTATTTCATTCGCACTGCGTGGCCTCCAAACAGCGATCAACGACTTTGGGGCATAGCAAGACCTCGATGGTTTCCTCCCCTTATCCCGATGCACCGTTTTCGTGAGGTGGGTTGCCCTCTGGGGAGTTTCAGCATTTGAGCCCAAAGGGTCTTGGTTGGGGGGGCAGTCGTCCTTTAGTGGTTAACTTAGTAACCAGGTCATGTAGCATGTGTGTTTGTAGATAGTGAGCGGCCTGCCATTGAGCACTGCTATATAAATTGTTGATAAAAAAAAAAAAAAAAAAAAAACTCGTCAAGGCTTTGACCAGTATCGACAACGTGGATTTGATCTTCAAGCATCAACATCTGCCTGGGCTGACCTTCCTGGACATCAGTGCAAGGTTGACTATATGTGTCCAGCGACTATACGAAATCTTCATGACTATGGAACGGTGTTTATTCCTTTCACTCAATGCTCTCATCGGCTTGAAGCACATGAAGACAGTTTGGTATGGAAGAATCCCATCAAGTGTGGAGGAAATGAAATGGTTAAAGATATTGGCTATATGGTATCTGCAATGGGAGAATATTGTGAGAATCTCATCAATGATTTGGTGCTGGTCTTGCTAATGATTTAATATTTAGGGCGTTCACTTTAGAGAAAGGAAAATTATTTCATAGAAGGAATAGCAACATGAGATATTGATCTTCATCAATTGGAGCAATATAGTCCTTCTTTACACCGTCAAGCTACTTTTCAGAACAAAAAAAGTCTACATGTGGAACGGTCAGAACTTGATAAAAACTCACCACTACATAAGTCCTCCAACTTCAAAATTGTGCCAATTTTCTTCAGTCATTATCTTCAAACTCTGAGGATTCCTCAAGCTCATATGCGCTGCTAGAAGACAAATCAGCAGGGCACTTTGAACATGCACAACAAATATACAGACGGAAAAATCTCATCAACAATGAACCGTCCATCTTGCTTAAGTTGTGATGTGAAGTAGTTCTGGACATCAGGAATATGGCTGCTATAGAAAGAAATATGGTGGAGGTATGGGCATATTGAAAAGAGGAAATGAAAGAAGTCGATGCAATAGCAGATGGATTTGATATGTCCAAAGAGCCCAAATTCTTTCAACATCAAAGAAGAAGAACTGAATAAAGTTTTGGGCTTTCGAGAAGGTTGAAATGAAAAGGATGTTGTAGTTGTGGTGGGACGCTGTGTAGCCAAAGGGGTAAAATGAGATCCAAGGGTAAAAGATGTAAGAGATGGCCAAGAAGAAGAAAGAGATGTGAACACAGAATTGGATAACCTGGTCAAGTTCATTAAAGCATTAAAGCAAAATGTCTCCATAGAAGAAAATACAGCAAGACAATGAAGAGAGGAATCTTCAAGAAAATTATTAATTTCAAAATCATTCCAGTCAAAACCGGCTTCCATGTCCCAAGTAACATCAAAGCTAATTTTCTTCAATGGAGCCAGTGGCATATTTGTAGCCATGGACTCAAACAGGTTCTCAATGGATTCATTGTTGGAATTCAAATCCTCTTGTATGAAATAGATTGTTGATAGCTTTGGTGCAGAGAAGGAGGGAAAAAAGGCAAGCTGGCAGATATCCTGATAGGTATAATGCATTTCCTGCAAGGATTGAAAGGTGTGTATAATGCCAGTAAATTCATATTGAATGCCTGAATCTAAAATGCCCGTATCATTGTAGATAACATGAAGCACCTGAAGACTTGATATTGTTGATAAAGTCTTGCACAGATTGGAAGGATTGGTGGTGCAGTGCAAAGTGAGGTAGAGCTCATGAAGAGAGCTCCAACAAGCACATGAAGAAAACAAGAGATCAAAGTATATGGAGGCATAATTGAAGGGGTTGAATTCATAGTTGCTATCAATTTCAAGAAGGGCTAGGCAATGGTGGTTGAAGAGGAGGTTCCCAACATGAGCATAGAGGGCTGATGAGTTGCGATCTGAGCGAATTTTAACATTGATGAGTGATGGAACTACAAGAAGAGCGCAAAGGCTCTCAGTCTCAACTGTTACTCCAATTGTCAGAGAGGTGAGACGGCGGAAAGTTGATTTAGAAAGGTGTCCTTCAGCAAAGGTGATCTGGACAATCTGTGCAGCTCGTGGCAGATATTGAGGTGCACTAGAGCAGGAAGTGTCAAGCTTGACCTTTCGCATGTGCTGCGCATATTGTTTGAAACGGTCCCAGTCATGAAGAGAAAGGGGTTGCTCAGAGAGCCTTAACTAAATGAACCATTGGTCAAGATATGATGCTATAACAAATAACTGTGGCAATCTTACCTCTCGTATTTCACCTCTACACCCACAATCTGATGAGCATTGAGATGGGGGAGAGCTGTAGTCATCATCCCAGGAGGCAATACAAAGAGAGGGGAGAGATGGATCTGGAAGCAATGCCACAACTTGGCAAGAGTTGGTTGACAGAATATGGAAGAGACCAGTGCAATATTCAATAAATATGAAGGCTGATAAACATTGACAGAATTGACAATGTGAGCTACAAGCTCAGGAATGGATAGAGCAGAATGTGCCATTGGAAGAGAGGCAGGCATAGATAATGAAGTTCTGGGTATGGTGAGTCTGTGCTAATGATGCTAGATTGGTTTGGTACCACATCCAACACCACAAAAGCAGGCCAGAAAATGTAGGATCTGATGGTCTGAGACAGAGATGGATGGTAGATGGAAGTAAGAGGCAAAAGACAACTTAAAATGCCATCAACCAGCAAGTGTTTGTTTTGAGATTCCACAACAAACAGAGAATCTCATAAACCGTAATGGCAATAGTGGAATTCTGTTGGAATATAAGACATTTTTTTATGATTGAGGTATGATAATATACAGACAAAAATATAACTACTGATTAAAAGAGGCAGGTGAGACATGAACTCTTGGGGAGAGGAGGAGGAGGAGAAAGGCATTCAAAGGTGATGGGCAGGTGGGTGTCAGCATCCAGGGCCATTGTTGGATGTGATTGGTGGTTGTGGACGGATGAGAGGGATGGGGGCTGGTAGTTGGAGGGGCGAGAAGCGTCATTGGTGGTGGCAGAAGTCGAGAGGGAGGGCAGGAGGGTGAGAAGGGGCAGGCAGGGCAGAGAACAACCGCAAATGAGACCAAACTTGGATGTTTGGCATCGTTTGTCATCCTGGTTGGCTATTTGGACAGGAGAGGGGCGTCAGAAGGGGGAGAGGAGGTGGTGGTGGTGATGGAGGGCTAGATGTGGGCGGTTGAGGGTGCAAATGCTGAACATATGTGTTCGGCGTCCTTCGTTGTCATCAGGGCTCTGTGGAGGCCTTTTGGATAGGCAAGAGGAGGGGGGGGTTGTGGGCAGAAGTCAAGAGGGAGGGGGGAAGGGCGAGAAGGGGCAGGTGGGGCACAGAATGACTGTGAATGCTGGGCTTGTTCATGCACTGGGGCGTTGTTGGACAGCCCCTGGGGGTGTTGGATGGGCGAGACACCGCAGCAGAGGGTGAGGAGGGCGAGAGGTGGTGGTGGGGTGACACCAGGCGGCAGTGCGAAAACAAGCCCGAACTTTGAAGTTTGGGGTTGTTCGTGCACCAGGGGCATTGTTGGACGGCCCCTGGGGGTGTTGGATGGTGAGGGCAGCAGAGGGTGAGGAGGGCGAGGGAGTGGTGGTGGGGTGAACAAGGCGGGTGGCAGGGAAAAGACAAGCCCGAACGAGCCCGAACTCTGAAGTTCGAGCTCGTTCACACACCAGGGGCATTGTTGGATGGCCCCTGGGGGTGTTGGATGGCGAGAAGGGGCAGTGGAGGGTGAGGAGGGCGAGGGGGTGGTGGTGGGGTGAACCAGGTGGGCAGCGGGGCAAGCAGGACCCCAAACGACCCTGAGCGTTGCAGTTCGGGGCAGTTTGTGCACCAGTGGGATGGCCCCCGGGGGTCTGGGACCTATGACACATGAAAACTCTCTGAGAGTTTTCGTGCGTCATTTGTTTGCGTCCCTACAAACACTTGCTAAATTCGCTGGGCCCCTTCCTCTTTCACAACCGCCATCATCTGGACTCCTCCAGATGGTGTCGGAGGGGCGAGAGGAGGGGATGGTGGTGGCGGAAGGTGAGAGGCAGGCGGTGCTAGATGGGCAGGCAGGTGGGACACAGAACTAGTGCGAACAACGCCAAACACAGAGGTTCAGTGTCGTTTGGTGTCCTTGAAGGCTGTTGGTAGGGGCGAGAGGCAGAGGGTGAGGAGGGCGAGCAGGTGGTCATGGGGTTGAGAGGGGCAGGTGGCAGTGGCTGAACAATTACTACAGTAGCCAGTAAAAATGCAGTGAACTATTGAAAATGTAGCTATGCCATCAATGCAATACTTACTGTGGGAAAAAAAGCATGGATGACCATAATGTGGGAAAGCAAAATGATCTCCGTGTCCCAGGTTGAAAGAACGAGTCTTACTTATGTAAGAACTCGTAATTTATGGTGAATTGACACCACCGGACCCTAGGGTTTGAAGATCTGCGCCAACTTCACTCATTCGTGTTTGTGGCCCACTAACATAGCGGGTTGCAGTGCCACTAACTTTCTGCGTCTGGTCTTGGGCAGGCGCTGCTCTGGCTTGTCAGCCTCAAGACACCCTGCCACCTCCCAGGTGGTGCTGTTCTTATTTCATTCGCACTGCGTGGCCTCCAAACAGCAATCGATGACTTTGGGGCGTAGTGGAACCTCAATGGTTTCCTCCCCTTATCCCAATGCACCGTTTTCACGAGGTGGGTTGCCCTCTGGGGAGTTTTGGCGTTTGAGCCCAAAGGGTCTTGGTTGGGGGGGCGGTCGTCTTTTAGTAGTTTACTTAGTACCCAGGTTGTGCAGCGTGCGTGTTTGTAGATAGCAAGCAGCCTGCCACCGAGCACCGCTATATAAATTGTTGAAAAAAAGAGCCTCAACCTACATATTCATGTGAGCACCAGAACCGTTATTGATTATCATGACTGACTTGCATTTCTTCAGCTACTCACTGGAGTTTAGAGTTAGAAACTGAGTTTAATCATGAGTTAGAGATTGGCAGCAATCCAGGCATTTTATTTAGAATTTATAAAAAGAGTCATACACCAACTTATACCAGCTTTGCTCTGCTTGGGCAATTTTTGTTCAAGATAACATCTGCTATTCTATTCTCAACAACTCAATGCATTAGATCTATGGCCATGTTTTCTACTTCTTCATTATGGTGCACTCCAGAGCAACTTTGCTATCGCATCTATCTTCTATTTCTTCGACACATCACACTAAAGCACCGCTATACTGCTATAGCCACTGTTTACTGGCCAGTGCTTTCCAGGATTCCAGCACATTCATTCTGCTATATTGCACCTTTTTCTTCTTGTTTACCATCTATCGTATATGTGCTAAACTATATAGATTCAACAGAATAAATTCTGCTCTCATGAAGCTGAATATGAATGCTTAGCTGTTCCTGATCAATGTGCAGGAGGAGTTAAGTATGCTTCACTCCAGAATCTTCAAAATTATGCACTTTCTAAGGATCACTTATCTAGGTTTTCTTCTAGTGCTAAATTCACATTTGTGACTCAAACACCTTATAAAGACCATACATCAATAGCGTCCGATGACAGTACGTTAATTTGCCAGATTCCTCTCCAACTCATCTCATCTTTTCTCAATTTAGATCAACTCAAAAATATTGCTCAACTCCATAACATACAAGGTGATCCAAAGTACAAGCGATCAGAATTTCTTAAGCAGATTGAACAACATACCTGTGGTCTGCAATGTTTTGACTTGGTTTCAGTTTGGAAATCAATATCCGATTGCTCTAATAGCCAACGCCAGCAGAATTATCATGACAGAAAGAAGAAGAATATTTTAAAAACTGAGAAGCCACAATGTATAAATAGAGATCATGGTTTGTTTCCTCCTCCTCCTCCTTCACATACCTTGATGCAGCACATCATTTCAGACTTTGTGGCTGACACCAGCCCAGAGAAATTTATTGAAGCAGGCTGTACAGTTTGTGGCCTTTTGAAACCCATAAAACAGCTCAAATTACTTGCAGATGCTCGGATATTGCTCAATCCACTTTGCCTTCCTAACATAACACGTCTTGAAAGAAAGTCCACAACAGATCCAATTCAAGACATTCCTGGTCTGGTTATCAATCCAGACTGTAAGCACATATGCCAAGGCTGTTGCAAACTGCTTAAGAAAGGGAAAGTACCACCTGCAGCACTGGCAAATGGCTACTGGATTGGAAAGGTGCCCCATGTGCTGTCGTGTCTTACCTATGTTGAAAAACTGCTCATTTCCCGAGTGCGCCACAACCGCTGCATTGTTAAAGTTGCCTCTGGTAGATACAAAATGCAAGCTAACGCTATTACCTTCCAGAATCCAACACCCAAGATATACAATACTCTTCCTCCTCCGGTTGCAGATCTTGATGAGATATTAGCATTTATATTCACAGGTCCATGCAAGCCTACAAAGCAGGATATTGAACGCACACCACTTCTAGTATGTCGGAACCATGTAGCTGAAGCTCTAGAGTGGCTCAAGCTAAACCATTTGGACTATAATGATATTGACATTTCTCTGCAAAATCTGAGTGAAGAATCAACAAAGATCGAGAAGCCACTAGTGTACATGACAATGAAGAAGAGGACGGTGTTGAAACTGGTCCATGCTCATTCACTGTGCAAGGCTTGACAGGAGAGCAGTATTCAAATATGTCAATTGATGCAATAAAGGCACATGCCTTGGAACATCTAGTTAAAAATGGACATATCATGTTTGTTGGGTATTCAAAGAATCCTCTCAGCTTGTTCAACAACCCTCAGCTATTTCCCTCAATGATGCCATGGCTTTTTCCATATGGTTATGGCGGTATTGGCCAGATTTGTCTTAAAGGCAAAGACTCTCAGTTAACTCAGAAACGACACATGTTGTTATATCATGACAAGCGCTTCCAGCTCAATCCCAACTTCCCTCTCATAGCATTCAATCAGGAGCAAATTCGGCAGAGTTCACAAGGCAGCTATCTCACAGCAGACAAGGCTTTCTTTCCTGAAGTTGCTGACTGGCTTTTATGCATCGATCCATCTATCTTGACCAATATCAGTCAGCGGTTGTCTCAATACTGGCTGCAACTGATGGCTCTGTCCCTCAGTCCAACCAGTATCAGGCGGCTTCGGCTGCCATAATCTACAAGGGACGTCGCAAGCTCAAGAGGACTCGCTATGTCTCTGGCAGAGTTACCGCCCCAGATGCAGAACTCAATGCCATCTCGTGCGCAGTGCGCCTTGCTGTTAAGCAGGCAAACTGCCAACACATTATGGTCTTTACTGACTCTATGGGCTCGGCCCATAGAGCGGTTGACCCTGGCGTGCACTCTGGTCAGGCTTTTAGCTTGTCAGTCTGTCGCGCTCTCCAAGAGTGGTTTGAGGCGGATGATCTCTGCCGTGTTACCTTTGTTTACGTCCCATCTGCTCTGCGGTGGGACATCCATGGTGAGGCACACAAGTACGTCACCGAGCTCAAAGTCAGGGTTGGACGTCGTAAGACGGACAACTCTATAGACGCGCTTCGCTCCCGAGCAGCGCACTCAGTCCTGGATTCGTGGAACTCCACTTTCCAGGATCCAACCTACCGAGGCTCTGAATTTTTAGAGCTTCAACAGCCTGACGGGCGGCTGCTACAGCCATCGTACCTCAATGGGGGACCTTGGCTTTCAACCTTCGGACACAGTATCACTGAGTTCGCTCGCGTGTGCCGGTGTATAACTGGCCATGCGCCCATTGGAGCGTACTACCATCGCTTCAAGATTAATGAGCCTCACAGCTGCACTTGTGGGGCTGCCTTGCAGTCCCGACAGCACATCCTCTTTCGCTGCCGCAATTGCTACTCCATGCACTACCCCCGATTTCTCAGGGACATTGCAGCTTTCATGAAGTACAACCCTACGGCGTTTGGCTTCACCCGGGACCCTTTGGGGGTCGGATAATCGCCTCGGGCGGGGTTATTCCTCCTGTTGGAGGATTTATCGGTGAATTGACACCCTCGGACCTTAGGGTCCGGAGACCTGCGCCCGTTTCACTCTTTTGCGCTTGCGGACCGCTGTATAGCGGATTGCGGTGCCGCTAACTTTCTGCGTCTGGTCTCGGGCAGGCGCATCTCTGGCTTGTCGGCCTTAAGACACCCTGCCACCTCCCGGGTGGTGCTTTTCTTATTTCATTTGCGCTGCGTGGCCTCCGAACAGCGTCCGACGACTCTGGGGTTTAGCGGGGCCTCGATGGTTTCTTCCCCTTATCCCGCGTCACCGTTTTCGCGAGGTGGGTCTGGCTTTGTGGGAGTTTCGGCGTTTGAGCCACAAGGCTCGTGGTTGGGGGGGCGGATGTCCTTTAGTGGTTAACTTAGTAACCAGGCTGTGTAGTGTACGTGTCTGTAGATAGCAAGCGGGCTGCCATCGAGCACTGCTATATAAATTGTTGATAAAAAAATAAAAAATAAAAAAAAAGCGGTTGTCTCAAGGTGAGAGAGTCAAACCAGAATCAGAGGCCGAGAAGGCTTGCTTTCAGCTTATTAATGACCTGGACTGTGTAGGCAGACATGTTGAAGGCTCACTGGCTAGCAAAAAGCACATGCGCAATGAAATATGGTTGCTCATCTCCTACATGGGTTGTCCATCCTGGTTCATTACTCTGTCTCCAGCTGACAATAAGCATCCGATATGCTTGTATTTTGCAGACTGTAATATTGAATTCAAGCCAGAAATTCCCTTGCCTGATGATGCATACCGCCTCATTGCTAGCAACCCAGTTGCAGCTGCACGCTTCTTTCATTTCATGTGCAAGAATTTTATCAAGCATGTTCTGGGAGTCAGTACAAGACATCCTGGACTGTATGGAAAAACCAATGGCTACTATGGAACTGTCAAACAGCAGGGACACCTTACTCTGCATCTTCATCTCCTTCTCTGGATCAAAGATTCTTTGTCACCTCAGGAGATTCATAAACATATTATGGATAATACCTCTGACTTTCAAACAAGAATGGTTCAATATCTTGAAAGCGTACACAAGGGAGAAATGCATTCAGGCACTCTAGATGAAGTATGATCTTGTGTCAAGGAGAATTCAAAGAATTCAGACTACTCCAATCCTACTAAGACTATGCCTGAAGCACCACCTGCTTTGTGCAAGCATGAAAAGCCAACCAATACAGATAACATCTGCACCAACTGTACAGCTTCTGAATTATGGTGGAAGAAATTCAATGAGACAACTGATGACATTCTCTCCCATTCCAACTATCATGACTGTCGCCAAACATCTGAAGACGGCAGTGGGTGCACAATCAGAAAGGGATGTCTTAATAAATGTGGTCAATGTCGTTCCTTGAGATGTCATTCCAGAGACTATGGTTGATCCATTGAGTGGAGCACTGAAGATGAAAAAGGGTGAAGCATGGATGAATACTTTCACTCCTATCCTTAGCTATCTTTTTTGCTCCAACACCGATGTTACAAGTCTCCTATCTGGAACAGCTGTTAAAGCAATTGTTGCCTATGTAACAGACTATGTAACAAAACCTGGACTGACAACTTATTCTGTATTTGATACGGTGCATCAAATCTACACTTGTAATAGTGAGCTTATTGGTGGCTCACTGGACTGCCGAGAAATAGCAAGATCACTCATGACAAAGATGGTGAATCATTTAACAGCAAAAATGGAGATAGGAAGTCCTATGGCTTCTCTGTACCTGCTTCAAAATCCTGATCACTATACTCAGCACAAATTTGAGAATGTCTACTGGAAGGCTTATGTTTGAGAGGCGCGAAAGATATGGGAAGCAGA